CTGGCTAAAATACGCGCTCCTGTGGCAGTAGCCGCTACTCTTCATGAACGCTGCCTCCCTGTGTTCGGCTCAGAGCGGGACACACTATGGGTGCTCAGTAGATGATTATGGCTACCTGGCTTCTAGCTTCCATCCAGTGTCTTCTTTCTCTCATACCTGGCTCTAGGTGAATTACCCCCACCTCTGCCAGGTGCCATACAGTCCTCCAGATACTGTGGAACAAAAGCCGAAGTGTTTGCAGGCATCACAGTGAAAAATAATTTTGGGTCAAAAAGATGTCATTTGGCGGCCTGGCCCGTTTGGCTCAGCGGTTAGAGCATCAGTCTGCGGTACAGAGACACCGGGTTCAGGTCCCACTCGGTTGCAGTTTGTCCGCAGCCCCGGTTGGGGTCATGTGGGTGGCAGCCAGTCGAGGTCTCTCTCTCACGTCGATGTTGCTCTCTCTCTTCCTCCCTCTCTCCCTCTCACTCTATCTGAAGATGAATGCAAAAGTGTCCTCAGGTGAGGATTAAAAAAAAAAAAAAAAAGATGTCATTTGGCAAAATCAGCTGAGTCCCTCTAAACACTGCTTCATGTATGTACAGTCACACTAGAATCACAGAAGCTGAGGGGCAGCGGGGTCCGGGAGAACAGGGAGGACGTGGTTTGTTTGCCGGTCTCTGCAGGACGGGCCACTGAAGGCCAGTTCAGAGAAGTACACCCAAGTGCTGACACCTTTCTGTTGTGCTTCTTTTGCATCCTGATGAAAACCTGACGCTTTCTAGCCCGTCACATAACAAGTGGAACGAGGGTTTCTATTTTGTAGGTTAGGTAGCTCACTTTATGTAATTTTGGACGCCCAACTAAAGTTCCTGATAGCAACAACCTCCTTCCCTCCCCTAGGGGATTAGGGGCTCCTGCCCTCCCACACCCCACCCTCAATACTATTCCAATGCCTGGTAGTGTTCCCAGGTCCAGATACTCCCTTCCTTCCAGGACAGGCGGCGGGGTATCTCCCCTGGAGGACATTAAGGGAAACCTTCTGGCTGGAAGCCACGCACAGAGCAAGGACACTGACTGGACGGGGACTGTTTTGTTTTACACGGGTAGAGTAGTGGTCAGAGCCCCAGCCGGCAGCTTCCTTTCCCAACTCCGCTACTTAGTGGCTGCGTCACACTGGGCAGACTGCGTACCTCCTGTGCTGAACTTTGCCATCAGGAGATGCAAGTCACCGTGCTACGTTCCTAACGGGGTTGCGAGAAGGATGCGGGTTAATACTGGCTAATGCCTAAAACATACATGGCGCATGGTGAATGCCACATACATGTTCACTTGATAATAGTTACCGAGCTTGCCTGCGTTTCACTGTTATGTAAGCTATATGTAAGTTATATGCCTCATTGAAGTATTGTTACGAGGAGGGACTGAGGATGACTATCGAGGAAGGAAGCACTCCAAGTCCTTTCAAGTGCCCCTAGCATCACGCCACGTCCCTCTTTGACCTACAGATACAGGAGCTGTTCTCAGTTCTTTGTGCCTGTTCGTGTCTCCGGTGAATTATCTCTGCTGCCAGCAACAGTCCCCTCCCTGCGAGCACAGCCTGGAACCTGCCCCTGTCCGCAGGTGTCTGCCGCCAGCCTGTACGTGCCTGTGTCCATCTCACAGCATCAGCTCCGCCACGGTCTCCCCTGGTAACTGTCTACGGGGCAGGAAGCTGCGGGACACATCTGTGGCATGTCGCCATGTGACTAGAATCACTTCCCGCCACTCTCCTTACCTGACTGGCACTGCAGTTTCCTAGAAACTTGGACGTTTCCGAGATTGTTTTCCTTGTTGACAAAGGGCCAAATTACTTTATGTTTCTCTCACGGCTCATACACATAACTATTGGAGCAAAAAAGTTTTATTTTACTATGTAAAAAGATAACTTTCTTCTACTGGGTATTTAAAAGCTGAGCATATTACTTGATAACTGTAAATATAAATATGAGGATATTAACCTATACTTTCTAAATTCCTAGGTTGATATGGGAATCACCATTAGGCCCAGCCCTCCCCCACCATTAGACCTCAAAGTGAAATTTTAAAGTCAACACATGGATAAGGTCAGGTATGTACCACGTCATGGCAGGCAGACAAACTGTCCACAGGTTCAAGTCCATCTTGACTATAAACTCAGAGCGAGTAGGACTGGAGAGCCGGGCAGAAGGGGGACTCGGAAGAACGAGAGGCAAACACTGACTGTTCTTCTGACTCCAGGCCACGAAGAAGCCGCCCTGAAGCAGATGAGGGTGTCTGGCACACCCACCCTTACTGACAGACGCCTCCTGCCAGGCGGACTCTGTCCTGATCCCTCTGAACACTGAAAGCAGGTAACTCTCCTTGCTATGCTAATGCCACGTGAGCCAGACTTCCCACTAGCCAGGCCTAGTCAAGCATCCTGTGCACTTTCAACACACATGCCTTATTTTAAACTAACAATCAGTCAACCCTGTTTCCTTCCAATGTCATTATTTTCATACCTGAGTTTCTGGATTTCAAAACATAGAGCCAGACCTTGAACTATAATAATTTTACTATATTAATATAACTCCACGAGGAGTTCCCACAGAGAATTGATGAGTTTACTTCTCACTCCTATTTACACGTTCATAGGACAATATTTTTCTAAATATAGATTTAAAAAGTTAGGAAATATAGAAGAATTACAAAGGTTAATGTGGGAAAAAAGAAGGTTAACGATCTCTCAACTGCGTGTAAGGGAAGTAAATGAGCGATCGGTGTTGCGTACCCAGACTTCCTTCCTGTACCCCTTGCCAGCGTGTGGGGGCACACAGGCTAAGAGGGAGAATGGAGACACCAGCCCCCTGCAGTCGCACTATGGCAACACCAGTAACACAAATAAAAAGCTCCCAGCATGGAAATCTAAGGCGGAGCACCAGTTTAGCCAGAACCAAGGGTACTGTCGAGTGAAGCTATCTAAGAATGATTTCTGTAAAACCTGAACCTTTGACATGAAAGAATTCTAAGGAATTTCATACATGTGACTTCTCTAAGACACCACCACCGTATTACATTTTATTTTAGAATGAAAACACTAACTTACCATTGAATTAGCTGCTTTGCCTCTTTCACTGATTTGGACAGCACAAATTTATAGAACATCTACTAAACTGCAAGTGCTGTGCTGGGCAGTTGGGCTGCAACCACAACATCGTCTCCCTCTTTGTGGCATCACTGTGTTTTGGATGGGCCTTGATCAGACCACTGATCACATCCAGGCAGCTCTTAACTGAGGTGCACACCAAGGCCCGGCTCCAGCGTCAGCCGTGTGAATCAAGCCACAGAGCTGAGACATGACCATCATATCTGTGTGGTTATCTCTCCCTCCTCCTCCCTTTTCATCTTCATCTTCTCTCCTCCCCACTCTTCCTCCTCCCCCTCCTCCCCCTTTCTCCTCCTCCTCCCTCCTTCTCCCCTTCTCTTCCTCTTCTCTTTCTTCTCCTTTTTCGCTTGCAGCCTACATTTTGAGAATTCACCTTGTACACACATTTGCCAGAGGTATAATTCCTCTGAATAAATGTGTCCTTAATATCTAATATCTCCCAGGGCTACAAAGCAGTTCATAAGTTCTACAAAAATGGTTTAGTTTTTAATTTAATAATAATATAAAACATTTTTTGCAGTAGTAAGTCACAATTTAAATACTTTCCCCTTTATTTTTACAGAATAGGTAATAGCTTTAAATCTTTTTTTTTTTCCAAACTGAGATCCTTAGCACCCAATAGGAATCCAAGGATATAGTCTAAGGAGTCCATAAAAGTTAGATACTTCAAAAACACCACTCTATCTCTAAGGAAATAATTCTACCCTTTGCTCTAAAGAAATTGCTTACTTAACTAAAAATAAATTGATGGAGCTAAGCTGCAGAAACTACTCGTTAATCTGATGCTATCTGTATTTCTTTCTTTGTCCTTTTTTAAGCTTTTTTAATTTTCTTATTTAATTTATTGGGACTACATTAGTTAATAAAATTATATAGGTTTAAGGTGTGCAATTCTATAATGCATCATCTGCATATTACATTGTGTGTGAGCCACCCCAAGCCATGTCTCCTTCGTCCCCATGTATCTCCCCTCTCCCCTCCCCTGCCGGCCCCCAGACCGTTTCTCTCTGGTAATGACTGTACTGCTGTCTGTCTACGAGGTAGTTTTTGGTTGTTTTGTTGTTGTTGTTCGTATTTCTAACACAAACAGAAGACAAGGATGAGAGGGGCTCTCACAAAGATGAGGTTACCAGGTTGGTTGTTTTTTTACGTTCACATATTGGACACAGTGAATATGTACTTCAGTCATTCAGCTCTTTACAAATTTTTAAAAGTCCGAAGTTCAACCAAAAGTTTCAAACTCATCCCTGCTGGCATTGCTTTTCATTGCCATAGGAAGTTGTTGACTATTTGCTAGAAAAATATCTTTGTACTTATTTTTTTTAAATCACAAACAGCTTCTAAACAAATTGTAAGTAAAAGATTATTCAGAGTGCCAGTTCTTTAGAGATAGAAATCTGTAAGGCAATTTTCTCTTCCATATTTGAGTTTCATTCAGTTTTATTTTGGTAGATCTGTTGAAACAGGAATTCTGCAAAAAAGCAATGATGAGACAATCTCTATCCCACCCTTAGAACCACCCTTACAGCGTGTTAGTCCTGAAGGTGGGAATATAACCATAGACAGGAACATTGAAAGGCGATTTTATTCCTACCCCTCCTTCCCCCCGGGGTGTGCTGAAAAGATGACATTGGATGTCCCTGGGATCATCGGGGCACTTGAACCCTTTCAGGAGTCCCCAGATACTGGAAGTGTCAACCTTTTCATTCTAGGTTGCTTTCCTCGGACTTATGCAGGACAACAACCTCTGTTAACCAAGTTCTCTCCCGGCTCCAGTTCTCACAGTACAACTTACAAAATATGGCTTTGTGATACACATGTGTTTGCATTTAAGGTTAGACAGTAATTCACTTACCATGATAAATTAGTTACAGACATTGCAGCAATGTTGGGAGGAGTCTTGGGGAGCAGTCTTCTCTGGACTTCAGGATGGGGAGAGCAGGTCAAGGAGACGAGACAGCTGGGAAGCTCAGCTTTGCACCAGAACGATGCACAAACCACAGTCACTCACGGTTCGCGAAGACCTATAAAGAAAAGGAAGAAAGTGATATCATGCCTGGTCTATATGACTTTTCACAATAGTTTTGTCAAGTTATAAGACACACAAAAGATAACATGATTGTTTTCCTTAAAGTACAAGATATCATAAACCAAAGATAATATGAAACCAACCCTATGATGAGCTTTACCTTTAAAATCAATTGAAAGGTTATTAAAAGGATTATTCCCTGAAGTAGATAATTCCTAGTTCATTCAAGGAAAGAACAGAATGTGTTTTTAGAGGCAACACCTTTTTTTCAGCACATGATCAATCAGTTATGCTCTCAAAATCTGTTTTATATACTTGTGATAAAATGATCAGAACAACGATCCTGATTACCCATAGCAGAAACTAAAAAAGGACTTCCTTGGCACAAACTGTTATTGTGAACAAAGATTTAACAAAAAAACTCATTCACTACTACAAATGAGAGAATAAGAATTAATATTGAATAACCTGTGGGAGATAATCTGTGTGTATTTATGTAACAAACATTTCCACACACTTTTTTTTTGAGCATCTACTATGTACAGTATCCTGTGATCTTGAACCAAAATTTTCTTTGCGTACAATAAGTTCCATGGGCCCTGGCTGGTTTGGCTCAGCGTTAGAGTGTCGGCCTGCGGTCCAGAGAGACCCGGGTTCGGTTCCCGCTAAGGGCACGTATCTCGGTTGCAGTTTGTCCCTGGCCCTGATTGGGTTGTGTGGGTGGTGTCCACTCAATGTGTCTCTTTCACGTAGATGTTTCTCTTTTTCTCTCTCCCTCCCACTCTATCTGAACAAAAAATTTAAAAAAAGGTGTACTCAGGTGAGGATAAAAAAATAAAAATAAAAATAAGTTCTATGGTACAATGTTAGGCATTTTATTTAGTTCAGGTCATTAATCCTGTACTGTTCAATTAAACATTTATTGATCATATACTATGTGCACTTACACTGTCTTAGGTGTAGCTCATGGATAAAGATGAATGACACATAAATGAGACATTGTTCCTGCCCTCAAAGAATGCTTTTCGTAAAAAAGATAATTGTAATAAAATGGGGTGTTCAAATAAAGGTTTAGCCAGAGTTTATGGAAGCACAGAGGAAGAGCTTCCAGACCAGTCTCAGGGAAGGCTTTCTAAAGAAAATGTGCCCCACCATTAGGTTTGGCTGTGAGTTTCAAAAAAAATCTAAAGTCAAAGTGACTTAGAAAAAACAGAGTTTATTTCTGTCTCATGTAAAGAAATCTTGAGTCTTAAGTCCATGCCACACATGGCAACACCAGGCTGAGGCTCCTTTCTCGTCATCCACCATTCTCAACACCTGATTCCTCTTCACGTTCCGGTGGCTGCTGAGCTCCAGCAATCGTCTCTGGGTTTCAGCCAGCAGAAAGAAGAAAGAAGGCCCTGGCCAGTTTGGCTCAGCGGTTAGAGCGTCGGCCTGCGGTCCTGAGAGACCCGGGTTCGGTTCCCGCCAAGGGCACGTACTTCGGTTGCAGTTTGTCCCCGACCCTGGTTGGTCGTGCGGGTGGCAGCCACTCGATGTGTCCCTTCACGTCGATGTTTCGCACTCTCTCTCCCTTCCTCTCTCTCCCTCCCACTCTATCTGTACAAAAAATGGAAAAATATCCTTGGGTGAGGATAAAAAAAAAAAAAAAAGAAAGAAGAAAGAAAGAAAGAAGGGTGCTTCCTAGTAATTTACACGTGACATTTCCCCTTGCATCTCACTGTCCAGTCCCTTCTTCTAAGGGAGACTAGAAATGCAGCCAATATTCTAGCCATGTGATCAACTACAAACCAAGGTGCCTATTAGAAAGCAAGGGGCTGGAAGCGGGTGCTGGAAGAACACTAGCATCGTCTGCCTTGGTGTTGGAGACCCAGTGACCTTTACCGCCATATTTTGTGATTCAGTTACCTCCTGCAAAGCGGCAGACATGGGGCAGAGGGGAAGTGGAATCAGTCCGTCATTTGTTGGTAATTTTATATATTTGATACGTAAATTTTTTTTTATCCTCACCGAGGACATTTTTCCATTTTTTTGTTCAGATAGAGTGGCAGGGAGAGAGAGGAAGAGAAAGAGAGAGAGAGAGAAACATCGATGTGAAGGGACACTTCGAGTGGCTGCCACCCGCACAACCCAACCAGGGCCGGGGACAAACTGCAACCGAGGTACATGCCCTTAGCGGGAACCGAACCCAGGTCTCTCTGGACTGCAGGCCGATGCTCTAACTACTGGAACAAACCACTAGGGCTTGATACGTAAATTTAAATACTGACTTTTTCAGTGTTCCTAAATCATGTAAAATCAACAAATTATTTTTTTGTGCCCTACTATTTACCAGGCCCTAACAAAATACTAAGGACACCAACATTAATAAAATAATAGTCTTTCACATAAAGAATTCACTGTCTAAAATAGATGCCATCAGGTAAAAAAAAAAAAAAAGACAAAATGAACTGCACTCTACAAACTGCTGTGCATATACAGGGCACATGAGTAGCTACAGGGGAACAGAGAGAAACCTTAATTCGAATGGGTCCCAATGTCAATAAACCCTGTCTGATAGTGGAGTAAGCAGCTATATGGTTCACATGCTAACTCGACTCCTGACAGGCTAAGGAGGCTTTCGTGCATCCTGCCCGAGGTTAGTTGTTAAGGCATCTGGATATGGGAACTCCAAATTCTGCTCTCCAAACTGGTAATTTCATACTCTCAAACTCTGTGTTACCTGAGTCTTATCAAGGGTTCAGTTACACACAATGTATGTAATATTGTCTGATGTAATTCTTTCTTCCAGTCTGATGTAATTCTTTCTTCCATTTTTTTTTTTATCCTCACCTGAAGACTGTCCGATGGCCTGGGGAACTGGCGCCAGGCAAAGTGCTCGACCATTGTCTCCTTGCTCAGCCTTGTCTCCCACCCTGAGCGGCCTGCCTTGAGGCTATAGATTAACTCCCATCTTATCTATTCATATTCCAGAGGCTCCATGCATAGCCCCCGCAGGGCCAAACCTTAAGGGACAAATTCCAGCTGCAACAGGCAGATATAAAAGACACAAGCCCCTACATTGAGTGCGGCTTCTAGGACTCGACCCCCGGAGTCTGTGAACCCGCCCGGAGTGCACTCAATAAAGCCTGATCCCTGTTTATTCGGCTGATTGGCTCTCCAGTCTCTTCTCTGTTTTATTCGGCGGCGCCCCCGATTCCTTACATCTGGTGCCGAAACCCGGGGGGAGGGTTTTGTGACCCGGCCTGGCCTTTTTGGTCAGGATGAGAGTCCCCCTCCTCTCCCTGCGCCGCCACCCGTCTTCTGGATTCGGAATCTCCCTCAACCCAGCACCGACTTTGGAGCCAGGCTCCCAAACCATAAGTCGTTTCACTCTTTCTCTGGGGTTTTCGGAGCCAGTCTCCAAACCCATCGGAGCCAGGCTCCAAAACCATTTCGCTTTTTTCTGGGGTTTTGATCTGTCGTCCGTCCGGGGCTCGGGTCTCCCGTCCAAACCTTGGCCAAGTCGAGACGCCCCCGCCTCTCCGCCGGAGTTCCAGGAACTCCCGGTCTGAAGCCGCTTCGAGGGACGCCTGAGGCTTCTTCACGACCACCCTGTCCATCCAGGACAGACATCCGTCCGGGGACGGGCATTCAAAAGGGACGCCTTTTGTATGTCCGCTCTCCCGACACTCAAAGCCCCTCTAACCTGTCGCCATGGGCAATTCCGAATCCAGACTCGACCGTAAGACCCCCCTCGGGTGTCTCCTCGAAAATTTTTCCAAATTGGGATATTCTCAGAGTCTACACAAGGCACCAGAAAAGATTCTGAAGTCCCTTATATTCAGGCTTTGTTGGATGCACTCCGCCCCCCTCCCCCCCAGATAATCCCCTCAGTTCCCCTGTCGCTGCCCACACCTGGTCCCGCACACCCACGGGGCCACTGTCCTTGCCTCCCACTTCATCTCCCAGTCCGCCCCTGATATCAGCTCAAGAAGGTTGAGGAGGGCCCTGAAACTCCCATCCAAGACCTGGTAAAAATGGCCTTTAAGGTTTTTCATGCCCGGGAGGAGACGGCTGAAGCAGCCCGCCAGGCGAGGCTCCAGCAGAAGGTAAGCCTCCAAACCCAGGCTCTGGTAGCTGCCCTACGGCCGGCAGGGAACCCGAAAAGACACCTGGCCCCAAAAGGGGGACCTCGCTCACCTCCAGGTGCCTGTTTCAAATGCGGCAAGGAAGGCCACTGGGCCAAAGCCTGCCCACAGCCCAGACCACCTACCAAGCCCTGCCCCCAATGCAAACAAATGGGGCACTGGAAGTCGGACTGCCCGACCCTGGCTCAATCCTCAGCACCTCAATGCTGGGGAAATGAGACCCAGGATTTCCCAGCATTGGAGCTACTAGGGCTCATGGACGACTGAGGCGGCCCTGGTTCTGCGACTCCAGTCACCCTCGCCGAGCCCAGGGTCACGCTCCAGGTAGCGGGTAAGTCTATTTCCTTCTTAATAGACACGGGGGCTACCTACTCTGTCCTCCCCTCCCATTCGGGCCTCACTTTTCCTTCCCAGGTCTCGGTTATGGGAATTGATGGGCTCCCTACAACCCCCAAACGAACGGCCCTACTTAACTGCATCTTCGAAGGCCACCCGTTCTCCCATTCCTTTTTAGTAATGCCTGCCTGCCCAGTTCCACTCTTGGGGAGAGATATCTTATCTAAACTCCATACTGCCATCTCTTTCCTACCCCAGCAGCCGCACCTAACAGCTTTATTCTCTGGCCCTACCCAGGCTACTGCCTCAGCTTCTGCGGTCCAGCTCTTACCGGCAGTCCACACTGGGGTCTGGGACACAAACACCCCCTCGGTTGCCTCACATCACGCCCCCATCCTTATCAAATTAAA